TGGTTACTTCACGTGTAGAATTAAACTATTTTTTAACAAAATTTGATTGCAGTCAATTAAACATCTATTCTGTTTAATTTCGAAAAGCACATTTTTACATTTTCTAAAAAATTTTTTAATCTTTCTAAGAAAATTTTCGCTACTTTCTACATTAAATAAATGTTGAAAACTATCAGATATCTATACAAGTGCTGTATAACATCAGCTATAAAACGTATTCTTTCAAGTTTTAAAGCGTGTACTATCAAATAATAAGTGTTTGGTCTAATAAAATCCAGCAAACATGATATACTTTTCAACAACTGCAGTCGAAAAAAAGTTTAAAAATCTATTTATTATAATTTTTTTTGTAACTTTACGTTTAGAATTCAATTATTTGTTACCAACATTAGATTGTAGTCAATTAAACATCTATTCTTTTTTGTTTCTTATATAACATTTTTACCTCTGCTAAAACATTTTTAATATAATTACAAATTATTTTTCGTTACTTTCTGGATTAAATCGCAGTTAAAAATTATAATAAATCTAAAAAAGTGCTATTTAACAGAAGCTATAAAACGTTTTCTTTTAAGCATTAAAGCGTATACTTACAAATAAAAAGTGTTAAGTCCGCAAAAATTAGGCAAGCATAATTATTATTTGGACTACTGCAGTCGAAAAAAAGAGAAAAAATCATTCTATTACAACTTTTTTTGGTTACTTTAAGTGTAAAATTAAACTATTTGTCAACAAAATTTGATTGTAGTCAATTAAACATCTATTCTGTTTAGTTTCTAACAGCAAATTTTTACATTTGCTAGAAAACAGTTTAATCTATTATAGAAAGTTTTCGCTACATTCTACATTAAATAATCGTTGAAAACTATCAGATATCTAAAAAAGTGCTGTATAACACATGCTATAAAACGTATTCTTTCAGGTTTTAAAGCGTGTACTATCAAATAAAAAGTGTTTCGTCCAAAAAAAACCGGCAAAAAACATTTAAATTTTAATAACTGCTGTACAAAAATAAGGAAAAAACTATTTTATTGCAACTATTTTTGGATACTTTACGTAAAGTATGCAATTGTTTATCAACGAAACTCGATTGTATTAAAGCGGGCATCTATTCTGTTTTGTTTCTAGTAGCACATTTTTGCTGTCGCTAAAAATTTTTCGATATATTTTAGATAAATTTTCGCTAATTTCTAGATTAAATAATATTTGAAAACTATCTTATATCTAAAGAAATGCTACATAACTAAAGCTATAAAATGTTTTCTTTCAAATTCTAAAGCGTATACTAACAAATAAAAAGAGTTAGTACCAATTAAATCTAGCAAGCAACATTTATATTTAAACCACGGCAGTCCAAAAAAATGAAAAAATCATTTAATTACAACTTTTTTTGGTTACTTTACGTGAAGAATTCAATTCTTTTTCTACGAAACTCGATTGTAGTAAACTTGAAATCACCTATATTTTACTTCTAGTAGCATATTTTAAACGTCGCTAAAAATTTTAATATATTTGGAAAGAAATTTTAGCTACTTTCTGGATAAAATCGAAGAAAAAATATAAAATTTCTAAAAAAAGTGGTTTATAACAAAAGCTATAAAACGTTTTCTTTTAAATTTTAAAGCATATACTAACAAATAAAGGTGTTATGTTCGAGCGAGAAATAGATTAGGAGGTTTGAGTGGGATGCTCTACGAGAAGACAAGGAGATAGGCGAGATAGGCTAGTGGACTGTATTTGTCTTAATTTCTGGTAGAATTTAAGTGGAACAAGATTTTTTAACAATTATGAACATGTAGTAATGAATTAATGAAACGAAGAGTACAAAAATGAGAGGTCAGAAGGTATATAGAGATGATCAGATTAAAGATAAAGGTTATGAGATTACCTGAGAGGTCGTTAATGCGAGAGAGTATAATGAGATGATCAGTCAGAAAGACACAACACAAGGATGRCCTAAATGAGAAAAAGCGAGAAGAGATGAGCTGGAACGGTGTGAGATGAGAATAGAGCGAGATGAAGCTTATAAGATGGTGCACAATTCTTTTAGATTTCCAAATGTACGTCCGCACAGATTAAATTATTAAAAGGTTCTGCTGGGCCACGCCACTTTTCGATTCGATTAGAGGAACAGAGCGGAAGTGGAGAAAAGACAATACACCAATTAGCGAGTTCCACGCTAGGAAGAGATGACAAACAATCAATAGGAAAGTAACACGCAGAGGATGACGTCACAGGGGACCAATGACCTATTGACACGTTAAGTGGCGTGATCCCTTGATCAATAAGAACAATCCATATGTCTTCTTCTCAGCGATAACAGACGGCGCATTAATCATGCTAGCCGAGAGGTCCTGCTATCTAGTCTGAGGGGCGCAATTTTCGAACACTCTCCCCTCCAATTCTCGAGCGTGATTCGAGAATTTGACTTAGTGAGATGTGCTGAACCGCTGAGAAAATTATTATTCCTTGTGCGGTTGGAGAGGCAATGGTGCGAGCTTGACGATAGGTCTAGTGATAGTGCTGGTGGCGGTCTTCAGCGTGACAACCCTGCAGAGACCGTCCTTTCCTGGGAGTAGTTGTATCACCCTGGCGAGAGGCCACTTTGACGGAGGTAGACGTTCGTCGGTAATAAGGACAAGAGACCCTTCCCTGATATCGTTCTGCGATGTCTGCCATTTGGATGTGGTCTGATGCGCTTGCAGGCATTCCGTCGACCACCTTTTCCAAAATTGCTGGAAGCGCTCTTGAATCCGCTGGAAATGAGATAACCTGGAATCTGAGATGTCTGTTAGAGAAGGCTCGGGGATAGTT